GGTCAAGTCAGAGGAAATTTTGAGACTCGGGATTCTAAGTTGGTTCCTTACCAAAAGCACATCGAGAAATTGGTTCCCTATTTTAACAAAATCACTTTTCATCGTATCCCTAGGGAAGAGAATTAATTAGATGATACTCTCGCCACCCTAACATCCATGTTCAAAGTCAAGTGGAAGAACGAAGCTCCTGCTTTATGCATTGATCATTTGAACGAACTAACACATTGTCTAGAAATCGAGGACGAATATGATGACAAGCCTTGGATCTACGACATCAAAAGATATCTGGAAAAATAGGAATATCCCGAGGGTATCACTATCACTAATAAGAAGGCTCTCAGACAGCTCTGCGCCAAATTCTTCTTGAGTGGTGGTGTATTGTATAAAAGAAATTATGACTCTGTGTTGCTCAGATGCATGGATAGACACGAAGAAAAAACGACCATAAGATTTATACATGAGGGTTGTGAGGGTGTACATGCCAAAGGGACTGCCATGGCTAAGAAGATCCTTCGAGCTAGTTATTACTAGACAACAATGGAGGTTGATGGTTACAACTTTTCCAAAAGATGTCACAAATGCCAAATATATGGCGACAAGATCCATGTGCCACCAACTCCATTGAATATTTTGACTTCTACTGGGCATTTCTCTATATGGGGTATTAATATGATTGGAATGGTAGAGTCGAAGGCTTCCAACGGTCATCGTTTCATTCTACTTATTATCGATTACTTCACCAAGTGGGTTGAAGCTGGTTCTTACGCAAATGTTACACGATAAATGGTTGCCAGATTTATCAAGAAAGAGATAATCTGCCGCTATGGTATTCCTATCAATATTATCAATGATAACCAAGCAACCTGAACAATAAGATGATAAAAGAGTTGTGTCATGAATTCAAGATCGAGCACCATAACTCTTCATCATATCGGCCCATGATGAATGACACTGTCGAAGCAGCAAATAAAATATCAAGAGGATTGTCCAGAAAATAGTGAAAACTTACAAGGATTGGCATGGGATGCTTCCCTTTGCATTGCATGGCTATAAAAATTCAGTTCGTACTACCATAGAGGCAACTTCGTATTCGCTGGTGTATGGTATGAAGGTTGTTCTACCCATTGAAGTCGAAATACCTTCACTCAGAGTCATCATGGAAATAGATCTCGATGAAGCTGAATAGGTCCAATCCAGATACAACTAGCTGAATCTTATTGAAGAAAAGCGTCTGGAAGTCATCTGCCATGGCCAATTGTTTCAGAGACGCCTTAAGCGAGCTTTTGACAAAAAAGTTCTCCCTCGAGCATTCTAAGAAGGTGAACTCGTGCTCAAGAGATACTCTCCCACACACTCGGATCCACACATCAAGCAGACTCCCAATTACGAAGGACCCTTTGTTGTCAAGAAGGTTTTCTCAAGCGGAGCCCTGATCCACACCACCATGGATGGGGAGGAGTTACCACTACACGTGAACTCCGACGCAGTCAACAAATTTTATGCCTGAAAGAAATGATGAATAAAGAGCTTACTATATTGATATCTGCAAGGACAATCTAGGCAAAAATGAGTGTTCCGATGGACAAAAAAAAAAAGAAATGTCAATGCAAAAGTTAGGGACAAAACAAAATAAAAATATAGCCCTCTAAGTTGAAAACTCGAAAGGGCAACTTAGGCAAAAATGGGTATCCCGGTGGGTGAAAAAAAAAGATAAATGTCCAGACAAAGATTAGGGATAAAGGCATTTAACTGTGAATACTTGAGCCTATCTTTATCATGTTGCCCGTACATTTGCTTCAAGCTTTTCACCGAGGCCATGCTCGTGAAAGAATGCGAAAGTTTTACGTTGAGGCCATGCACGTGGAGGAATGTGAAAGTTTTTCACCGATTCCATGCTCGTGAAGGAATGCAAAATTTATTCGCTTGTGTTCGACAATAGTGCTCGATGTCTTGGAGTCCAGAAGATTGATGGGACTCGAAAAGACAAATGCTTCATCCCCTCGGGCCACGTATCACAACTATTAAATGTGCAAAGATGGCCTAGAAGTAGGGATGATTATGACCTAGGCAGCGACATGGTTACCCATGCAATGAAATTGGCTTATAAATAAGAATATTGGAGGGTCATTCGCAAAGTTTGCTCTCTCCTTCCCTCCACTTTTCCTCTGAGTTACCCAGCATCTCCACCGCTATTTTTCATCGCCACCATCATCAATCCTCGTCTATTTCTCAAAATCAAGTAAGTTTTACTTTTTCATGGCTTGCATGTTAGCTATAGAGTGTAGATTTGCCTTCTCTCATTCTAGAATGTAGATCTTCCTTTTCTCCATGTTTGGTTGCAATGGGTGTTGGTGTTTGGAGGTGGCTTGGCCATTTCCAAACACCGACAGGTGGGGGGATTTTGTGTTAGAACTGCGTTTTAGAGTAGGAAAGTTGGTGTTTTATGTTGTTATTTCTTTCGATATCTATTTAGGCGCTGCCGTTAAGGCGGTGTATAGAAGCTACGTCGACAAGGCTCATGAATTTTCTGAGAAGCTTCGTGTCGAGGAGGCTCTTCCTTACGAAGCTCATGAATTTTCAGATGAAGCTTCATGTCGAGGAGGCTCTTTCTCGCGAAGCTCATGAGTTTTCTGATGAAGATTAGTTTATTTCCTGACAAGGCTTCGCGTCGATGAGGTTATTTCTCTTGATTTTTTTGATTAGTCGACTGAGACCTCTATCGAGGATAAGATCCTCGCGATTCCCTTTGCTTGCTATTGAATAAGGGCTCTAATTTGAACTGTCGATCAGAATAAGTTAGTGGCCAGCAACACGTCCGCGGTCTTGAACGATCGACGAAGGGGGGTGCACGTGCAGGCACTCTGATGCTTAAGTCAGTTCGGCTGAAGAGGTAAGTAAGAAAGGGTAAAGAATAGAATACCTGACCCTCTTGTAGAGGAGGATTTTTATAGTAAGCCTCCAACCTTGGCCAATAATCTCCGTTATGGGCTGGGTGTTCAGACCCACCACGGATGACTGCCAGGATTCCTACATGAAAGTAGGGACGAGCAGCTCGTGCTCATCGTCCTGGGTAAACTGCCCCGCACTCACCGGGTAGTGGATGAACTTGCCCGTTACGAAGGGAAGAATGGTTCTGTGAGGTGTGCGGGTTCAGTTGGTGTCGTGTCCTCGGGTGAGGAGCACATGGGCAACATGTTCTCCATTGGCCCAACGGGTTGGGCCAACACTTTGGACCGTCCTCGACGCAGAGATTGAGTTGTGCTCGACGATGGGTCAGCCACAGGGTCAGTCCAGAACAACACTTATTAGATGCCGAGTCAATGCACAGAGGAATCCCAAGACTGCTTGCTATCATAAAGACGATTTTAGGACTCCATTATTCATGCAGCAAACCATGAATACAGATCCACACTTGTGCATAGGATTGCTTCAACAGAGTTGGGTTGAAATCATTAGTCCACGGAAACAACTTAAGAAAATCTGGGCTAAGATTCCATGAGGTGATAGACCTTACATGCCTAACTTCTTCAAGAGTAGAAAACAAAAATTCAAAGTACCCTTTACCTAAGGATGTGATGCTCCAATTTACCTGTTGATTTCCATAAATTCAAGAATTTTGCTTTGAGATTTTGAACCATCAATAATGAGGAGCACTTTGGCCAAATAACCTTACCATGAAGATTATGCTTGCAAGCTTCCACGCCTAACAGGTACTCCTCCTTAGGAATAATAACAGACAAACAATCTCTTTTGACACACGACTTTAATAGCTGGCTAACCAAAATATCACGAACATTATTCACCGTTTCAACAAAAGATTTTGGCAATTTAATAAAGATAACCTTCTTCTCTGCTTGAGCTTTCATCTTCGTGCCTTCAATTTCTTCCGATAGATCCAAGAACTTTCATATTACAATTGGTTCCAGCGTTATAAAAATCACAAAATAACATATCAGATTAAAAGATGAACAATGTTTTGAAATTCAACATAATTCCTCCAATATTAGTTTGGATGCTTCTTTCCACTTTGCATTTACTTCACAAATTCTAAAAATATATCCTAAATAGTAAAAACAAAATCAACTTTAAAACTAAAATAAATACAACAAGTAAAAGAAAAAAAGAAAAACAATAATAATTTATGTGAGCATCAACATTAAATTGTTTACATTTCTTACTAAGAAAATGATATTCTTTTAAAAAAATATTTCGAGTTAAATGTTTATAACCTTTTTGGGTATTTTAAATTTTACTTTTAATCTATTAAAATACTTTTTAAAAAAATAAATTTTCTAAAATCTTTTCATCCACGTTTTTCGTGATGAATACTAAAATTCTCAATAAAATCAGCAATAATTTAATTGTTAAATAATAAATCGTTGTTAAAACTGTCAATAAAATTATAAAATTGTCGCTACATATGAATAATTTTTTTTGAAAAAAATATTCTTTAAAAAACATTTTAAAAATTAAAAATGAAATTAAAAATATTTAAAAGTATAACAAAAATATTTAACCCATTATATAATTTATATACAACATTTAAAAAGCATTTTATGATATACTAACTTTTGAGCAATCATTACTTTTATACTTTTTATTTTCTCTAATTCTCTATGGGTTAATTGTTTACCAGATAACAAGTATTTATTATTTGAAGTAGAATATTTTTGCAAATTTCCAGACTTTAATGAGCTGTAAGTGTTTAAATTCTTCACTTTTATGCACATATAAAAAAATTATAAAAAAACTAAAATTATAAATGAAGATGAGGAAGAGAAGTGGCCCATACATACCAGAATCATACACACACATGACAGTACAGAACAGCCTCTCAAACTTTCTTCATGACAACTTACCTGGACCCCACCTGCATGTGCATTACTTCTCTTCCCATTTTTCTCACTCTTTAAACTAAAACTAACCATAAACTAACCAAAAACAAAAACACAAACACAAACACCACCTTCTTCTCTTCTCTTCTCTCCCACAACAACAACATGAAGAAAAACATCATAGTACTAAACCCTTTAACTTTTTCTTTCTTTCTCTTCATTATTACCCTCTTCTCTCACTCCCAAAACGACGACGCTTCAATCATGTTATCTCTCAAAAAAGCTATCAACCCACCCGTTTCACTCGGTTGGTCCGACCCGGATCCATGTAAGTGGACCCACGTTTCATGCTCCGACGACAATCGTGTTACTCGAATCCAAATCGGTCGTCAGAATCTCCGCGGCACACTCCCTCTGAATCTCCATAACTTAACCGAGTTACAACACTTGGAGCTTCAGTTCAACAATTTCTCGGGTCCTCTCCCGAGTTTAAACGGGTTAAACTCGCTTCAAGTATTCATGGCGAGTAGTAACGGTTTTACGGTGTTTCCTGGAGATTTTTTTGCTGGGATGTCTCAGCTTGTTTCTGTGGAGATCGATGATAACCCTTTTGAGCCTTGGGAGATTCCTGTGTCTCTTAAAGATGCTTCTTCGCTTCAGAATTTTTCTGCTAACAATGCTAATGTGAAGGGTAAGTTACCGGATTTTTTTGGTGATGATGTTTTTCCTGTTCTGACCCTTTTGCATTTGGCCTTCAATAGTCTTGAGGGTGTGTTGCCGAAGAGTTTTTCTGGTTTAAAGGTTGAGTCTTTGTGGTTGAATGGTCAGAAGAGTGATGGTAAGCTTACTGGGTCGGTTGAGGTTTTGCAGAATATGACTTCTTTGACTGAGGTTTGGTTGCATTCTAATGCTTTTAACGGTCCTTTACCTGGTTTTGAAGGGTTGAAGGATTTAGCAGTTTTGAGTTTAAGGGATAACTCTTTCACCGGTGTTGTTCCCAGTTCATTGGTTAGCTTGAAGTCGCTTAAAGTTGTGAACTTGACTAATAACTTGTTTCAGGGTCCTGTGCCTGTTTTTGGTGCTGGGGTTGAGGTTGATAATGTTAAGGATTCTAATAGCTTTTGTTTGTCTAGTCCTGGTGATTGTGATGCTAGAGTGCAGGTTCTTCTTTCTATTGTTGGGGCTATGGGTTATCCTTTGAAGTTTGCTGAGAGTTGGAAGGGGAATGATCCTTGTGTTAATTGGATTGGGATTACTTGTAGTGACGGGAACATTAGTGTTGTTAATTTTCAAAAGATGGGTCTTAGTGGTGTCATATCTCCGGAGTTTGCTAAGCTTAAGTCGCTGCAAAGACTTATTCTTTCCGATAACAATATCACGGGTTTGATTCCTAATGAGCTTACTACTTTGCCAATGCTAACTCAGTTGAATGTTGCAAACAATCATCTCTATGGAAAAACACCTAGTTTCAAGAGGAATGTAGTTGTGACTACTAGTGGAAACATTGATATGGGGAAGGATAAGAGCAGTCTTTCACCTCAGGGGTCGCTGTCTCCTAATGGTACTGATGCGAATGTCGGAAATGGTGGGAGTTCTGGAAATGGTGGCAAAAAGCCTTCTCGTGTAGGATTGATTGTGTTTGCTGTTGTTGGTGCTGTTTTTGTGGCCTCTTTGATTGGTTTCTTTGTCTTCTGCTTGCTAAGGATGAAGCAAAAGAAGTTAAGTAGGGTGCAGAGTCCGAATGCACTAGTTATTCACCCTCGGCATTCTGGATCAGATAACGAAAGTGTGAAGATAACAGTTGCAGGTTCGAGTGTCAGTGTTGGAGGCGTGAGTGAAGGTCACGCCGTGCCCAACAGTGAGATGGGAGATATTCAAATGGTTGAAGCGGGAAACATGGTCATTTCAATACAGGTTTTAAGGAGTGTTACAAACAATTTCAGCGAGAAAAATATATTGGGACAAGGAGGTTTTGGAACGGTTTATAAAGGTGAACTCCACGATGGTACAAGAATTGCAGTGAAAAGAATGGAGTGTGGGGCAATAGCCGGCAAGGGTGCGTCCGAATTTAAGTCTGAAATTGCTGTTTTGACAAAGGTTCGTCACCGGCATCTTGTTGCTCTTCTCGGATACTGCTTGGATGGGAACGAGAAGCTTCTTGTGTATGAGTACATGCCTCAGGGGACCTTAAGTAGATATATTTTTAATTGGCCGGAAGAAGGGCTCGAACCACTTGCATGGAATAGGAGATTGATCATTGCCTTAGATGTCGCTAGGGGTGTCGAGTACCTTCATAGCTTGGCTCATCAAAGCTTCATACACAGAGACTTAAAACCTTCAAACATTCTCCTTGGAGATGATATGAGGGCCAAGGTCGCAGATTTTGGTCTTGTGCGTCTCGCTCCCGAAGGGAAAGCCTCAATTGAAACAAGAATTGCAGGAACTTTTGGATATTTAGCTCCGGAATATGCAGGTATGTTATTTTGTCACTTGTTCTCGGTATTCTATGCCTTTTTTAGTTGGTAATACCAAATAAAAAGTAGATATAATCAACACCTTTATCAATATATTGACTTGGTTTGAATGTAGCTACATAACTAAGTCAATAGTGCAACTTCATGCTATTAATAGAAAGTCAATAATGTAACTTGTGTCCAAAAATGTCGTTCATATTCAATTTGTAAAATCGGCTATGCGTGTGGTGTATTTGATTGATCGGCTATGCGTGTTTGATTTTGATCATTCTTGGATGTTTGATTTTTCGGAAAATGTCTCTTAACACTGACTTGCAAATGGCTATTTGCTTGCAGTTACCGGCCGCGTGACAACTAAAGTTGATGTATTCAGCTTTGGAGTAATACTGATGGAGCTGATAACTGGAAGAAAAGCACTTGACGAGAGCCAACCCGAGGATAGCATGCACCTTGTAGCATGGTTCCGAAGAATGTACTTAGATAAGGACTCATTCCGCAAGTCCATCGACCCCACAATTGATATCAACGAGGAAACACTCGCTAGTATTCACACCGTAGCAGAGTTAGCTGGTCACTGCAGTGCAAGGGAGCCATATCAAAGACCAGACATGGGACACGCGGTTAACGTGCTTTCATCTCTTGTTGAACAATGGAAACCGTCCGATTCAAATTCCGAAGATATATACGGTATCGACCTTGACTTGTCTTTACCACAAGCACTCAAGAAATGGCAAGCTTATGAAGGTGCAAGTCAATTGGAGTCGACGTCTTCTTCTTCGCTTCTTCCAAGTTTGGATAACACTCAAACGAGTATACCTACTCGTCCATACGGATTTGCCGATTCTTTCACGTCGGCAGATGGTAGATGATTGATCATGTTTGATTTTGTACATAAATTGTAATTGTATGGTGGTTCTGTGTGTATTGTGATTCTAATTGCTGTGTTGTGATGGTTTTTTCTATGTGGAACTTGATTATCATTTTTCATGGTGTAGTTTTCTTCCATGAATAATTTTACTCTCTAGCACTTTTTAAGGAGTTTCGCAGAAAAACTGAATATTTGTTTCATGTTTTTCTCTTTTCTTTTGATATGTGTAGCTGAGGCTACTAATTTGACTAATTCATTTCAATATTTTTCATTAATTCTATTGAGCCAAGGTTACAAGTTTTTGTAGATGACAATTTGGTCATTGGAATCAATAACCAATCATTTGTTTTTCTTCCGGCACACCAAAATAGTCTTGTATAAGGTCGAGATTAAGAATAGTTTATATAAAATTTTAACTGCGGCAAATTATAGACTATAGACTCTGTATGATAGTTCACGTTCAAAGGCCGTTCTGATGCTATGTTAATAATTTAACAAGTTTCATATGTCAAAAAGAAGTTACTAAATGATTAACTAGTTTGAAAATCTACTAGTTATAAGTGATTCATTGAAAGCAAATGTGCTTTAATATAAAGTTATGAGAAGGGATTTGGTTACAACAAGCCGGAAGGTTGGCATCATATCAATGTTGTGAGGAATCTGCAATGCACGATCCATTTTGGATTAGCATGAATTTATGAAATGGACAAAATGGACAGGTGAGGAAGTAGTTAAAAAAGGAATCAAATATAATTTGTTGTTGCCTATCTTCTTGTGAAAAAAAGGAGACAATATGGCAAAATGCATGTGCAAGTTAAGCCAAAAGATGTGCATGTGCTAACCTTTCCAACTGGCTTCCATTACTCACTTTATTCTTATCTTTTAAGTTCAAACATTATAAAAAGTTTAATGCACCAATCCATAAATTAAACATCCTTTCTAACCTTTGGAGATATTTAAAAGTTAACACCTGACCACATAAAATATACAACTATGTTTACTATTGGATGATGTGGTATGTGATGTTGATGATTGAGCAATGTCTATGTCTGTATAACAAAATATTAATTACCAAATTTTAAAATGAAAATACAATTTAATATATATATATATATATATATATATATATATATATATATATATATATATATATATATATATATATATATATATATATATATATATATATATATATATATATATATATGATGGAATAGGATGGTTTAGGTGAAAGTCAGATAATAGATAAAACTAGAACCCGGCCTTGCCGAGTAATAGGCCGAGGCTGGGTAATAGACAGAGACCAGGTAATAGATAGAGTTAGAAGTTGTCATGTTGTTGGGCAGTAGACTTTGATAGACCGAGATCATCATCGGTGTAGAGACATCATCTAAAAACAACATTAAAAGATGAAGGGTCGTAATAACACAATTATGAAGAAAATGTTACAAACTATTAAGAAAGAAAGTTAAATGATTAAAAACGTCGATGATTTTTGGGCCATGAATATAGGAAGAAGAAAAGATTCGTCATGATTATTGGAGGAAAAGATGAGCCTATATAAATGGTGTCAGAAAATCACACAAGGCAGACAAGAATCATTTGAGAAAATACATAAACAACCATTTAAACCAAAAAACATAGAAGTCAATTTTTTGATGTTTTTAGTTATATATATATATATATATATATATATATATATATATATATATATATATATATATATATATATATATATATATATATATATATATATATATATATATATATATATATATATATATATATATATATATATATATATATATATATATATATATATAAAGCCTGATTTCATATTCAAAAATTTTCATAATGAGTTATGATCTGGAGTGATCAAAATGAATCGTCTTGGCCTTTAGTGTAGGGCAGTAATAATGATTGTAGGAGAGGAGGGGGTGTATCTGCAAGGTACTCCAATGACAAAGTAAGTGTTTGGGCTAAAGAGAGAAAGCAAGTACGAGCGTTTAGGTATGAGCAAGAATGATTAGAATACCTGACCTTCTCAAGAGAGCGGGTATTTATAAGATTCTCCAACGCGGGGCCAAGGTCCCATATGTGACCGAAATATCTGGTCGGCCAATGAGGGACTGCTAAGTGGAAGATCTAGCGCGTGATCTTTGACCTGGTCCAACTGTCTCTGTGACTTTTGAAGGGGCAGTTGGTCACGTGAACTGTCAAGCGCGTCGGGGGCATGTCCCCAACGGCTATATGCTCCAACGACTATATTGTACCCAACGACTATATTGTGCCCCATGGTTTATATTGGGTTTTGGATCTAAGCTTAGACTGGATTAGGCATTGCCCAGTTGTGGGGCAGGTGTCAGTCCAGTCTAGAACAAGAGCATCCCAAGTCGTTGCTTCGAGGTGAGGAGTAATGACTTGAGTTAACCTAATTGTCCGACCAAGGGACATGAACTATATCGCGGGGATGCCTTTGAGATCGCCATAAATTGAGTGAAAAGCTTTGGGGACGCGCAATGGCATTACATACAATTGGTATGGTCGACTGTGGGTCGCACGTGGCTTCCTCGGAGACGAAAGGTGCTTTTGGTGTCGGCTAGAGTTGTCCTTGGTATGAAGAAACTATCGACGAAGCTTCTGCTCGAATATTGATCTGCCAACGCTGTTGAGGAGAACATGCCCGCAGGGAGTTGGAGAGACTTATCTTTTTACAAGCAAGTGAGGGGTCAGTTTTAAGGATGCCAAATGACAACCTCTTTATGCCACATGTGACGATGTAATAAATTTTGTTAAGGCCTAAGAGGCTAGGCAATGATGGCGTTTTGCCCTTTGCGTTTCTCCATGCGAGCAAAGGAGCCTATATAAAGGGGAAGAAGCTAAATACCCTATTTGGTCCCTTAACTATACCCTTAGGTTCAGATTGGTCTCTTAATTATTTTTTGTGTCAGATTGGTCATTTAACTCTTTAAAACGTGTCATATTAATCACTTTCGTCTAATTAGCGACGCAAAAAGTTCAAAAATTCGTCGCTAATTAGACAAAAAAGACCAATATGACACGTTTTAAATAGTTAAGGTACCAATCTGACACAGAAAATAATTAAGGGACCAATCTGAACCTAAGGATAAAGTTAAGGGACCAAAAAGGATATTTTGCCTTCATTTTTCACTTTACGAAAATTTCTCTCCTCCTTATCTTTTGCTCTGCAACAACGTCCGTCATCGGAGATCCTTTCGCCGTCGTCCGCTGCTCCTGCCTTTCCAAGATCTTCATCTTCAACCTCTAAACCCAAGTAAGTTCTACAACCTTTATGTGAAATGCACGAGTTTCTGCAAATTATTCTTGAATTCGCCGGTGGTTCAGGAATATTCTGGTTGAAGTTCATGTGTTTCTTGAAGAACACATTAATTTTCTGGGAAATTCATGAAGGCTTTGAATAACATAAGCTTAGGATGTTGTATGTCTATAGATCTTCCTAGGTTATTGTGTGAGATTTTTTTATGTTTGTTGTTGGGAAGAGGTGTCCTCGTAGCTGAGGGTTTTGCCTGTAGGTGCCCAACGCGTTGTAGTAATTACGGGGCTTATACCCCCGGGGTCTTTACAAGTCGCGGGGACGTTTCCCCAGATTGAGGATGTGTTTCGTTGAGACTTTTTACTGTTGATAAGGGCCTGAGTCAGGGAGACATCCTTGCACTTAATCCTTGCTCTTTCACTTGATTTGTGGTGGAAGGATGGATTTGATCTTCGTCGAATTCACTATTGCTTCCTCTGCTTTTCAGGTGAAATGGATGATCACAACGAGGAAACTGTCCCCGATGTTGGGGCGAATATTAACGAAGACGTGCCTCCCGCCGAGTACGCCAACATGCGGATGGCCAAGGGAGACCTCAGTTGGATCACTCAAGAGCCGCTTGTGACGAAGTCAACATTTACCGAGGAGGAAGGAAGTAGCTTTGATCTCCTCGAAGATAGGGCCAGGGGCGCGCCCATGAGTTGGAGGGCTATTAGCCCGACAGAAAATGACCGGATATGCTCGGTGTATCCGGGGAGGAGATTTCCTATGTATGAGTTCGCCTTCAAGGAAGCGGGGTGTCGCCTTCCCTTCACGGACTTCCAGGGGGCGATATTATGCCATCTTGAGTTGTGTCCTTCCCAACTTCACCCGAATGCTCTAGCGTTCATTCGGGCATTCGAGTTGGTGTGTTGTTATCTCCAGATAGAGGCTACTGTGGAACTCTTCTTTTGTATCTTCCATCTACATAGGAGCACCTCTGAATCGAAGTAGAGTTGGGTGTCTTTTAAGCAGCAGAGCAGGATGCTCTGGCTCTATTCGAAGTCTGTTCAAAACTTTAAATTTAGATTTCTGGTCGTAAAACCCCTTTTCGAGGCGGCCAAGAGCTCCTTGGTCATGATGGAGACGATAAAGGAAGATGGTCGGGAAGTGGTGCATCCCATGTCAAAGTTTCCCTTGGAGTTGGTGTATGCCCATTTTCGGTATAGGACGGACCAATTCCTTGTGAAGCACAATCAACTATGTTCCGAGGATAAGAAATCTCTTCGAGCATTAACAGTGTTCGTTGAGAGTTTCATCATAGCCGTTGTGGTGAACAAGGATGGCAATCTGCTTTAATATGAAGATGGGGAGCCTTCTCGGGCATCTCGTTACATAAATACTAAAGCCCTTCTTGACTACAAAACTGAGGCTGAGGCCTTTGAGCTTCTAGGTATAGATGACGTGCTCGACTTGTTTCTTGATGTTTTAATGTTGTGCTGACTTCTTGTTTCTTCTTTGCAGGAAAGATGTCGAATTTACGTGAGCGCTTGGTTAAGTCAGTCGCGGCCAAAAATGTCAAAAAGGTTTCGACCTCAAGGGCGGATGCGGTCAGACATCAGGTGACCCTAGAAAAGTTTGTTGGTCCTTCGCCTTCTCCGGGAAACACCTCCAATCCTCCTACCCCGGATCCTCAAAAGAAGAGGAAGCAAGACGACCTTGGTTCG